AGCAGCCGGTGCAGCCACTGGGAGGGAGAGGGACGGAGGAAGGGAGTGGGTTTGGGGGAAGCAGATAGGGGGAAAGGTAGGAGGAATGAGAGGAGGTTAACACAGGGTATGAGCCTTACAGGCAGAGGAGGCTCACATGCAAGGGCAGACGCCTTACCTGCAGCTCTGAACCTCCTTCAGGGTTTAGGGTTTTCCGGATCCGCCTCGGCCCCATGCTACCACACGCAGTCACGGTGCCGTCACTCGTCCCAGCGTTCATGTCATTCGACACGGGATACACCGGCGCCCTGCTGCGGCGGAAGTTTCTCCTGTGAAACAGGAACCCGACTTCCAGGGCTCAGAAATCTCACCTGCAGCTCTGGACTTCCTTCAAGGCAGGTGTTTTCCTTATTCTCCTCGGCCCCGTGCTACCACACGCGGTAACCGTGCCGTCACTCGTCCCGGCGTTCATGTCATTCGACACGGGATACACCGGCGCCCTGTTGCGCCAAAAGCTACTCTTGCACAACACTGAACCCTACTTCCCGGGCTCAGAAGTCTCACCTGCAGCTCTGGACTTCCTTCAAGGCAGGCGTTTTCCTTATTCTCCTGGGTCCAGTGCTCCCACACGCAGTCACCGTGCCGTCACTCGTCCCGGCGTTCATGTCATTCGACACGGGATACACCGGCGCCCTGTTGCGCTGGAAGTTGGAGCTGCAGAACTGCACCACCGCGCCCTGCGCTTGTATGGAGATGGCACCGCCTCGCCCGTTCATCACTGCGTTAGCTGAGAAGCGCGTCCCGATGGAGGTGAGGATTGGACTTGTGGTGAGGATAGCACCGCCGCCACGAGCTGAGGAGGGGAACGGGGGGATGTGGGGGGGGGGGGGGAGGGAGGGGGGACAGTGGATACCACTGCGTTGGCAGAGAATCTAGTGCCGATGGAGGTGAGGATTGGACTCGTGGTGAGGATAGCACCGCCACCACGAGCTGAGGGAAACGGGGACGATGGGGAAGGGGGGCAATGAGGAAGTAGAGAAGGAGGGACGCGAGAAAGTGGCCTAGGGTCTGGGAGGAACCTATGTGTGTGTGTGGTTGCCAACAGCGTTCTACACACAGTTGACTTTTGAGTCGACTCAAAATGACTTTTGACTTTAGAGTCGACTCAAGAGAGAATGTGGCATCGGGTCTGAGAGGAACCTAAGTGTGTGTTATGAGAATTCTCAAAAGTAACACCAAGACGAACCTGTGTGTGTGGTTTTCAACAGTGTTCTGCACACAGATCGATTAGATTCTGTTACGCCGCAAAGCCGGTCAAAAGGCGAGCATGTGTAACATATGCGTTACCAGCAGCTGATGAGCAAGTGTAATTACCAGCGGTGTTCTGGGAGAAGGTCGACTGGAGCAGGTAAAGCTCGCTCCCTTCGGAAAAAATTGTGGCCTGTCTTTGAGGAGCCTCAAAAACCAGCAGATGAGCAACTGTAATTACCAGCAGTGTTCTGGGAGAACGTCGACTGGCGCAGGTAAAGCTCACTCCCTTCGGAATAAATCGCGCCTCCACTGCGTCCCGCTGAGTTTTTACTAAAAGTGCACTTAGCGATCTTCACATCGGGCCCTCCCGTGGGGTCCCTCCCCACGTTGATAACGCCGCCATTGCCGGCAGCTGTGTTGTTAAGGAAGACGCACGTAGTGAACTGCAGGGGCGAGCCAGCAGTGGGTGAGCTGTCCCTCGAGCTGGCGGGGGGTTAGAGGGAGATACAAAGGACAGTGAGGGGAGCGAGAGACTGTGAGTGATCGACCTGCCCACTCTCCTGTTGGCAGAGCAAACGTGTTGGATAGAAGCAGGTGAACTGCAGGGGCGATCCAGCGGTAGGTGAGCTGTCCTTAAAGCTGGAAGAAGGGAACTCGGCGCGCATCTACTAGCTGAAGCGTTCAGGCACTCACTAGCTGACACTCACTTGAAAACCGCTCATCCAGTGGAGCTCTTGTCCGCGACATTGTGCTGGAAGGTGACTCGGCGCGCAGCTGTTAGCTCGTTTATGATCCGTTGATCTAACAACTGGGCTGATCTAGTTCGTTACAAGCACTCACTTGAAAACCGCCCCGCCGGTGGAGCTCTTGTCCGCCACGTTGTGCTGGAAGGTGACTCGGCGCGCAGCGAACTGGCAGGCGCCCACGTGCACGCCGTTGAGCGCGTGCTGCACCACCAGGTTCTCCAGCACGATGCCGCACGCGAAGTTACCCGAGAATATGCGAAACTTCTTGTTACCGTCGACGATGCAACTGAGAGGGGTTGGGGGTGGGAGAGAAGGACAGCGAGGGGCGTGACGGGAGGGAAAACGGATCGCTTGAGGGGGAAGGGCGTGAGGGAAACGGAGTGAACGAGGCGCGAGAGCTGACAGGGAGGTCATGAGCAAGTGAGTACCAGTCTTGAATGGTAACTATGTAACTATCACGAATGTCGAAGATTTGCGCGCACTCGACGTAGTAGGAACTTCCTACTACGCTGATTTACAATCGGAGGAGGGTAGACGACACACGCTGACTCTTTGAGTTTGTTCCTCGACGCAGGTCAATACTCGCACTACTAAAAAATCACCTCGACGTAACAGTAAGGAACATTTTGAGGCGTCTCAAAAGTCGTCTCATTACCCGCAATTTTGAGGCGCCTCAAAAGACGAACTCACACCACTCAGAAATCACCTCAACGTAACAGTAAGTAGCATCCAAGGAGCAAATGTCACTACTCACACTTTATTATTTCTGTTGTCACAGGCGCCTTTCAGGATGATTCCGGAAGCGAACCCGATGGCAGGGAACCCACTGCGCGGAGCAAGCGAGGCGAAAGGAGGGGACACGAACGCAAAGAATGAGGTGAGGTTACCACGTAACAGAGCCTGGGCAGAAACCGGCTACTGGAACTCGCTGAGGTGCTATTGAGGTAGTACTGAGATGTTAGAAGGTACTATAACGCACTGACATGGAAAATACTGCATTGGAGGGGGGACTGTAGCATTGACATGTATGCTTGCCTGGTAAGCGTGATGTCACTTTTGAGTGTCACCTCCACCATGGCTGTCTGTCAGATACGGAGAATGCGGGGTATGGGTGCAAGATGGAATGCCAGTCAGAACGTAGTCGAAAACAACGTCGAAAGCTATAACCAAGGGGGTCGATGCATGACACGAGCGGCGAGCTCAACAGACTGATAAAACCAGGCTGTAATGCTGATATGTTGTTTCATTCATCCGACCAGCAGACTGTATGCTGAAACTTCAGGCCTGGAAAAACCAGCACTGAACGCTGAAGGTTATTATTACTCGTGGTTTTACCTTGGAGCCTGCTTGAGCTATCGCGCTCCGAATGGTCGACTCCGCGTTGCTGCCGCTCGCGGTGACGAAGATCGTCGGCTTCTTGATGAAATTTGACGAGCCCTGCGACAGAATCCGTCGCTGACCCTGTCGCTCATTTCCTGCACATGTTCGCACGAGAACCTTGGGATTTGATCTACTCGAGGATCTTAGCTACAGGAACCATCCGAGAAGCACCTGAAATAATAAGGCGGCATTTCGCATAAAACACTGCCGTTGGATCTTACCTAAAGAGTGGAGTGCTTCCGCATCGCCTGAGCCGACAACCAGAAGAACTGCTACTAACAGAAGCGTCGCAACTTTCCGCATGTTTTTTGTGTCCTGACGACGAGACGAGCAGTATTAAATCAGCGCTTCCGCCTTAAGTGCTAGTACTTCCGCGTTCAGTGCTAGTTTGACGTAGCGTCCCGCAGCATAAAGAGCTTCAGGTAAGCGAAATGCGTAACAGATCGCAGAGCGTCTGGGTACAGCGAGGTGCAGTGAGGTGCAGCAAGATGGTGATAAGTCAGCTGAGAATGACGAGATGAGGCAACTTCTAAAAGGTCAGATAGTATCAAGAATGATAAGAGGTCTTCGATGAACCGTTTAACTAGTTCATGGTGGGACGGGATACGTCAGCTCTAAGCTCATAGTTTTTTTCTCTATGGCAACCTTATCTCCTCCCTGTGCTCGGAACGGAATTATCGGTGTGATGTGAAACACGGCGTTATTAGTTGTTCAGCCAGGTACGATACTGCTGCTGCTGTGGTTCCATTCCACGGACTTCACAATACAATAATTGCTGGTAGTTTTTTGGGTTGCGTTGCGTAGCTATCTCCAACTCCGTACAATTGCTTTCAAATCTCCAAGCTTCAGACCATTGCACACCAGAGTGAACCCTGAGATGCATCTCTTTGGGGTTGGTGTCACTTTGATGGGCCAGGTCTGGTGGAGCAGAGCGCTCGCAGCGCGCCGCCATTGCCTAGGAATTTCCGTGTCTTACGGCGATGTACATCGACAAATGCTGAGGCTTGACGGAGCCGCTCCAGGAGTGGACTCGGGCAGCCGTCAGCCACGACGAAGTGACGGCGGACGTTCTTTTAAAAAATGACCATCTGACCTGACACGGGCGTATTCTACAAGTTTATGCGCGGAAAAAAATGACTCCCAGGCGAGTTCAAGCAACACCACATACTCTCGCTCACCAAATATCAGCTGAAGGGCAGTGCAAGTCGCAAAAAAACAAGAACTTTCACATCTAATCGTAGGCGTCCCTGCCTGGGCAGCTGCGAATCAGGTGCAACCATTTTCGTGCACTGGTGAAAATGACCTGTAACACAATTTGTCAGCCAAACCCCTTAGGTTATTGATCTTAAATTCCCTTCTTTTTGTCAGGAAAAGAATGTTCCTAGTCCATGCTTCAATATTATCTTATTTCGCCACAGTTAACTGCATCTCTACAATTCATACCCTGCTCATGGGTGGATTAATCCAGCTGACTTTAAATTCAGAGATTATGAGAACAAACTCAAGAGTCTTGAAGCCCAGGACAGGACTACATCTGCTATAACTAAGGGTTCATAAACGACCATTTATGCGCCTCAATACAGCAAACGTTGAGGCGCCTGCAACACAACATGTATCCTTCTTAAGGCCGAGGACGAACGGGAACTAGAGCTGCTGCAACTGAGACACAATAGGCGGGGGAACGCGGGCCATGGCGGCTTGGAATTGCTGCTCCCCATGCACAGCCACACACGCCTGCAGCTTCTCCTTTAAGAACGGCCCCACTGCTACCCGGTGCACGGGGTCTATGGACGCCACTTGGCGCCGCCTCAGAGCCTCGCACTCCACGGGAGCACCTTCCCCTCCCTGAATCGAGTCTGATACCGATGCATAGTCGTAGCTGTAGGGGGCAGATGTGGGGAGAGGAGAGGGAGAGGGGCAAAAGGGGCTACGCCTTCAGGAACGGCCCCACTGCTACCCGGTGCACGGGGTCTATGGACGCTACCTGGCATGGGGTCTACACAAGGGCCCATATCGCCCACCCATGGTGACCCGGTGCACGGGGTCTATGGATGCTACCTGGCATGGGGTCTACACAAGGGCCCATATCGCCCACCCATGGTGACCCGGTGCACGGGGTCTATGGATGCTACTTGGCGCCGCCTCAGCGCCTGCCACTCCACTGGAGCTCCTTCCCCTCCTTGTTTGTAATCCGAGACAGACGCATAGTCGTGACTGCAGGGGGGAAGAGGGGTGTGGAGTGGGGAAGTGGGCGGACCGGGGTTGGTTGGGGAACAGAGATTGGAGCAGGAAGGCAGCACATTGCACGGGGTATAAGGGTGCCAGCCAGCCATATTCCCCACGCACCCCCACCCAGTGCACGGGGACTATGGACGCCTCTGTTTCTTGGCTTTTGAGTCGACTCAAAAGCACACCCACCCCCACCCAGTGCACGGGGACTATGGACGCCTCTGTTTCTTGGCTTTTGAGTCGACTCAAAAGCACACCCACCCCCACCCAGTGCACGGGGACTATGGACGCCTCTGTGTCTTGGCCTTCTCGTCACGGGAGCTACCGGCAGAGAGTATGAGGTCGAGCCCCTTCCTTTGAGTCGACTCAAAAGCAGAGAGTATGAGTTCGAGCCCCTTCCTTTGAGTCGACTCAAAAGCAGAGAGTATGAGGTCGAGCCCCTTCCTGATGAAGGCCGTCACGACAAGCCGGCAACTCACCCAACCGTGGAGATGTCTGGCAGCAGTGGCGTGTTGTCGGGATTGTCCTCTCCCAGAGAGCCTGTGCAGACAGAGAGAATGAGGTCTCACCTTTCCAACTAGGGCTGTCACGACAAGTTAGCAACTCACCCAACGGTGGAGATGTCTGGCAGCAACGGCGTGTTGTCGGGATTGTCCTCCCCAAGAGAGCCCGTGCAGACGGAGAGAATGAGGTCGAGTCTCTCCAGTATCTGCGGCTCAGGCATCGTCAGAAGCACTGCCAGGGCCAGAGTGGAAAGTTTCCGCTTCGCTGGAACTGAGACAGAGTCCACCTGTGGGGGAGGAAGGGGGTGGGGAAGGGAGGAAAATAAAGAGCCAGTGCACACGGAGAGAAGAGAGCATTGTGAGCAGCACTGCCAGGGCCAGAGTGGAGAGTTTCCGTTTCGCTGGTACTGAGACAGAGTCGACCTGTGGAAGGGAGGGAGGGAGGGAGGGAGGGGAGACGACGAGCAGTGGTGAATAGAGATAGAGACAATGAGGTCGAGTCTCTCAAGTATCTGCGGCTGTGGCATCGTCAACAGCAATGCCAGGGCCAGAGTGGAAAGTTTCCGCTTTGCTGGAACTGAGACAGAGTCGACCTGTGGGGGAGGAGGAGGGCAGGAAGGGAGCAGGAAGGGAGGGGAGCAGGGAGGGAGGGGAGCAGAGAGGGAGGTAAGGGAGAGAAGACGAAAGGGCAACTGTGGACAGATGGTAAGAATGAGGTCGTTTTGCCAGAGAAAGAGAGAGGGAGAGAGCAGTGGTAGCACCCACCTTATCCAACCAAGCATCCAGGAATAGCGCAAGGGGAGGGGCGTTGCCCTTTGCTGCTGACTGCTGCTGCAGCAGGTGGCGAGTCGAGTCGGCGGATATGAACTGGGCGAAGTAGGAGCTGTTCTGTAGCACCACCCGTGCGAGCACTGTGGCGCATGTGCCTCTAACGAGGTCAGAGTATTCTGTTGGTCCGATGATTATCAGCAGCAGTTTCTGCAATGCGGGGTGTAGGACAGGAGGAGGAATAGAACTTTGGAAAAAGGCCATGGAAAAAGACTAAGGAATGGGCACGATGGAGGGGAAGAGAAGGAAGGATAGGCGACATAAAACAGATCAACAGCATGAGTGATTGCATTTTCTCCTCAAATTGACACAAGAAAGCAAACAACAAATAGGAATGTTGCTTCTAATGCACGCCATTCTTCCTGCTTCTTGCTTCTAATGCACACTGAAGCAGCAGAATCAGCAAGTGGCCTACACCGTTCTTCCTATTTATTGCTGATTGTCACCTGAAGGACGGACTCGAGAGCAGGAGGGGCCTCTGATGGATAACACTGCAAAAAGAGACACAAGGCAATGCAAACCACAATTACTAAGACGCACAAAAAAACACTGCTTCCTTTCTTGCAGTCGCATCAGCAGCAGCATGGCCTTCTCCTTCACATTCCCCACCACCGCGTCAATCATCCCCACAAGGCCAGCCTTCCCCTATGCCATTGCCCGACTCACTACACAGACGCTAGCCGTACAAGTTTGTCTCTCACCTGGATGATGAGGTCTACAAGCCCCGCCACCAGCAGCATCGCCTTCTCCTTCACATTCCCCACCACCGCATCAATCATTGACACGAGGCTCCCTGCGTGCTGCTGCAGGAACGCCGGCCCGCCCACCAGCACATAGCTCTCCATGATTGCTGTGGCCACCTGCAAGTTCGAGTGGCAAAGGCATGGAACACGTTAAGAACATACGCATGCACAGGCAACACGTGAGGCTCCCCGCATGCTGCTGCAGGAACGCCGGCCCGCCCACCAGCACATAGCTCTCCATTATTGCTGTGGCCACCTGCAAGTTCGAGTGGCAAAGGCATGGAACACGTTAAGAACATACGCATGCACAGGCAACACGTGAGGCTTCCCGCATGCTGCTGCAGGAACGCCGGCCCGCCCACCAGCACATAGCTCTCCATGATTGCTGTGGCCACCTGCAAGTTCGAGTGGCAAAGGCATGGAACACGTTAAGAACATACGCATGCACAGGCAACACGTGAGGCTCCCCGCATGCTGCTGCAGGAACGCCGGCCCGCCCACCAGCACATAGCTCTCCATGATTGCTGTGGCTACCTGGCAGTTTGAATGGACAGTCAGGGTAGAGTAGTGTACCACATTAGTAACATGCAGTAGACACACAAGCATGCTGCTGCAGGAACACTGGCCCGCCCACCAGCACATAGCTCAACATGATTGCCGTGGCCACCTGCGAGTTGAAATACGGACCCATACGGTATCACGCTAGAATGCACTCCTGCTGCAGGAACGCGCGCCCGCCCACCAGCACTTAGCTCTCCATGATTAATGTGGCTACCTGGCCGTTGGGAGTGGGGAACAGTCAGCGTAGCGTAGGTAGGGTAAACATTAGAAACATGTAGGCGGTAGACACACGTGCAACCATGCTGCTTCAGGAAAACTGGCCCACCAACCAGCACATAGCTCTCCATGATGGCGGTCACTACCGCGCGCCTTGGTCCGCGCGCGCGCCTTGGTCTGCGCGCGCCTTGGACCACGCGCGCGCCTTGGTCCACGCGCGCGTTGGTCCACGCGCGCGCCTTGGTCCACGCGCGCGTTGGTCCACGCGCACGCCTTGGTCCACGCGCGCGTTGGTCCACGCGCGCGCCTTGGTCCACGCGCGCGCCTTGGTCCACGCGCGCACCTTGGTTCAAGTGAGCAAGGCCAACCTTATGTTTGATCAGCTCCCTCCAACAACGACCTGGCAATGCCGAAGGCTCAACTGGCAATGCAAATGGCTTACCGGGAGGTGCTCAAAGCTGATGGGCACGAGGTTGGCGAAGAGAGCCATGAGTTCAGCAACAAGGGGACACAATGGGAAGGGCTCACTAGCTTATTTGGCAATGTCAATGGCTCACCTGGCAATGCAAATGGCTTACCGGCAGGTGCTCAAAGCTGCGGTCCATGATGGGCACGAGGTTGGCGAAGAGAGCCATGAGTTCAGCAACAAGGGGACACAATGGGAAGGGCTCACTAGCTTATTTGGCAATGTCAATGGCTCACCTGGCAATGCAAATGGCTTACCGGCAGGTGCTCAAAGCTGCGGTCCATGATGGGCACGAGGTTGGCGAAGAGAGCCATGAGTTCAGCAACAAGGGGACACAATGGGAAGGGCTCACTAGCTTATTTGGCAATGTCAATGGCTCACCTGGCAATGCAAATGGCTTACCGGCAGGTGCTCAAAGCTGCGGTCCATGATGGGCACGAGGTTGGCGAAGAGAGCCATGAATTCCGGTACCATGGCTGGTGCATGGCGCAGTGTGGCTTGCCATAGCTGCGAGGAGTGGGGGGGTATGAAGAGAGAGTGCGGGGGGTGAACATGAGTTCCGGCATCATGGCTGGTGCTCGCTATAGCGTAGTGTGGCTTGCCATAACTGCGAGGAGTGGAGGGGTGTGAGTGAGGAGCAAGAGGAGGAAGAGAAAGTAAGTCAGAGGCAAAGACGAGCAAGAGGACAGTACGAGACAAATTAAAAGAAGCTGTTGGATTGTGGTTTGTAGAGAAAGTGGTCCTAGAGAGACACTCACCTGAAGCCCGCCCGTCCTCCAGCATGTTGAGTTCATCTGGCTGGGAGATGTCGGTGCTGTAGCGCAGGATGGGGAAGAGCAGTGCTCTCTCCCATGAGTGCATCAACACTAACCACAGATGGAGGATGTGGAAAGGAATGGTTTACCTGCAAACCGTCTTCCAGCATGTTAAGCTCATCGGGCTGGGATATATCGGTGCTGTATCGCAGGATGGGGAAGAGCAGCAGACGCAGTATGTACCCCTTACTATAGGGAACTTTCTCACACGTCCACGCACACACACACCTGCAAACCGTCTTCTAACATGTTGAGTTCATCCGGCTGGGAGATGTCGGTGCTGTAGCGCAGGATGGGGACGAGCAGCGGGTAGGAGACGTGCCGTTCGAGTGGTTTTACACAAATGTTACAGGGACAGGTGAAGGAGAACTGGTTGGATACACACACGAAAGGTTTACCTGCAATCCGTCTTCTAACATGTTGAGCTCGTCAGGCTGAGAGATGTCGGTGCTGTAGCACAGGATGGGGAAGAGCAGCGGGTACGAGATTCTTACGAGAGAGGAATATGACTACCCCCTGCCCTGGATTATGGGGAATGGATACACACGCACACACAAGCATGCGCACCTGTAGCCCATCTTCCAGCATGTTGAGTTCATCTGGCTGAGAAATGTCGGTGCTGTATCGCAGGATGGGGAAGAGCAGCGGAGGCAGTATGTACCCCTTACTATAGGGAACTTTCTCACACACACACGCACACACCTGAAGCCCATCTTCCAGCATGTTGAGTTCATCAGGCTGGGAGATGTCGGTGCTGAAGCGCAGGATGGGGAAGAGCAGCAGTGGGTAGGAGACTCTCACAAAGGAGGAATACGCCTTTTCTATTAGTGTATGACTACTCCCTGCCCCTCAGTATGGGGAACTCAAGCGCGCGCTCACACACACACACACCTGCAGCCCATCTTCTAACATGTTGAGTTCATCGGGTTGGGAGATATCGGTGCTGAAGCGCAGGATGGGGAAGAGCAGCAGAGGGTAGGAGAGATCAAAAGACACACAGTAGGCGGGGAGGGGAGTGGATACACACAAGAAAGGTTTACCTGAAGCCTATCCTCCAGCCTGTTGAGCTCCTCAGGTTGTGAGATGTCGGTGCTGTAGCGCAGGATGGGGAAGAGCAGCGGGTAGGAGATGGGTCTTTCCGGTACACTCAAATGATGCATACAGAAGAGGTTTACCTGAAGCCCGTCCTCCAACATATTGAGTTCATCAGGCTGGGAGATGTCGGTGCTGTAGCGCAGGATGGGGAAGAGCAGCGGGTAGGAGATCGGAGACTGCGGGCCGAGCGATACGATGAGGCGTTGCAACGCCTGCATGACTTGAATGCGTAGCAGCGGCTGCCCCTCTGATTGCTCCCACACCTGGTGAGAGCGGAGGCATAGGGTACAGAGCAGCAAGGTTTGGTATGGGTAGGTGCAAAATAATCTGGAAAGGGAAGAGCAGTGGGTAGGAGATCGGGGACTGCGGGCCGAGTGACACGATGAGATGATAATCCCAAGGCTGACATGATCACGATGATCCCAAGGCTGACATGATCACGACAATCTCAAGGCTGACATGATCACGATAATCCCAAGGCTGACATGATCACGATAATCCCAAGGCTGACATGATCACGACAATCCCAAGGCTGACATGATCACGACAATCCCAAGGCTGACATGATCACGACAATCCCAAGGCTGACATGATCACGACAATCCCAAGGCTGACATGATCACGACAATCCCAAGGCTGACATGATCACGATGATCCCAAGGCTGACATGATCACGATAATCCCAAGGCTGACATGATCACGACAATCCCAAGGCTGACATGATCACGACAATCCCAAGGCTGACATGATCACGATAATCCCAAGGCTGACATGATCACGATAATCCCAAGGCTGACATGATCACGACAATCCCAAGGCTGACATGATCACGAAAATCACAAGGCATCCCACACGTGTTACATCGCACTCACCTGAGGCAAGCACGAGAGGATCTTGTCGGCCAGAGGAACGATCTTCTCCCCCATGCGCTCTATGATGAGCGAGACCACGTTCACTATCTGCAGCTGCGAATCAAACTCCGACACCTGTGAGTGATGCAAAGGGAGAGGCAAAGGGAGAGTGATGCAAGGAGAGAGTATAGGGGAAGTCGCCTCAAAAAACAGGTTAGTGGACGATCATCCAGGCTGTTTTTTAGATCTTTTAAAAGAAGCAGGCCAGAGGAACGATCTTCTCCCCCATGCGCTCTATGATGAGCGACACCACGTTCACTATCTGCAGCTGCGAATCAAACTCCGACACCTGTGAGTGATGCAAAGGGAGAGGCAAAGGGAGAGTGATGCAAGGAGAGAGTATAGGGGAAGTCGCCTCATAAAACAGGTTAGTGGACGATCATCCAGGCTGTTTTTTAGATCTTTTAAAAGAAGCAGGCCAGAGGAACAATCTTTTCCCCCATGCGCTCTATGATGAGCGAAACCACGTTCACTATCTGCAGCTGCGAATCAAACTCCGATACCTGTTGGAAGGGGAGGGAGAGAGATGCAAGGAGAGAGTGACGCAAGGAGAGATTAGAAAGGGAGGCACATAAATAGAGAGAGAGAGAGATTAGAGAGAGTGACGGAAGGAGTGATCTTGTCGGCCAGAGGAACGATATTCATCTCCCCCATGCGCTCTATGATGAGCGACACCACGTTCACTATCTGCAGCTTTTGAGTCAACTCAAAAGTCGCTCTATGATGAGCGACACCACATTCACTATCTGCAGCTTTTGAGTCGACTCAAAAGTTGCTCTATGATGAGCGACACCACGTTCACTATCTGCAGCTTTTGAGTCAACTCAAAAGTCGCTCTATGATGAGCGACACCACGTTCACTATCTGCAGCTTTTGAGTCGACTCAAAAGTCGCTCTATGATGAGCGACACCACGTTCACTATCTGCAGCTTTTGAGTCGACTCAAAAGTCGCTCTATGATGAGCGACACCACGTTCACTATCTGCAGCTTTTGAGTCGACTCAAAAGTCGCTCTATGATGAGCGACACCACGTTCACTATCTGCAGCTTTTGAGTCGACTCAAAAGTCGCTCTATGATGAGCGACACCACGTTCACTATCTGCAGCTTTTGAGTCGACTCAAAAGTCGCTCTATGATGAGCGACACCACGTTCACTATCTGCAGCTTTTGAGTCGACTCAAAAGTCGCTCTATGATGAGCGACACCACGTTCACTATCTGCAGCTTTTGAGTCGACTCAAAAGTCGCTCTATGATGAGCGACACCACGTTCACTATCTGCAGCTTTTGAGTCGACTCAAAAGTCGCTCTATGATGAGCGACACCACGTTCACTATCTGCAGCTTTTGAGTCGACTCAAAAGTCGCTCTATGATGAGCGACACCACGTTCACTATCTGCAGCTTTTGAGTCGACTCAAAAGTCGCTCTATGATGAGCGACACCACGTTCACTATCCGCAGCTGCGAATCAAACTCGGATACCTGTCAGTGATGCAAGGGGAGATAGAAAGAGAGAAGGGAGGTGGTTTGTGGTGCATATTGAGAGTAAGGATGCCGATACGTGGTGCGTGGTTTGTGATACGATGAGGTATCTGAGAGTACACGTATCTGAGAGTACACGTATCTGAGAGTACACGTATCTGAGAGTACACGTATCTGAGAGTACACGTATCTGAGAGTACACGTATCTGAGAGTACACGTATCTGAGAGTACACGTATCGGAGAGTACACGTATCTGAGAGTACACGTATCTGAGAGTACACGTATCTGAGAGTACACGTATCTGAGAGTACACGTATCTGAGAGTACACGTATCTGAGAGTACACGTATCTGAGAGTACACGTGTGCTGCGTGCGTGCATCACAATAGCTGGCAATGTAGGGTGTTTTTGAGAATTCTCAAAAAAACCCTACGATGAGGCATCTGAGAGAGTACACGTGGGCTGCGTGCATCACAATAGCTGGCATGAGGCGCCCTGCATGAGTCTATATCGATCTACTATTGCCGGTTTTTGGGTGGATGTCAGGCATCATGTGCATCACCTGCTGCAGGCAGTGGAAGAGCGGTTGATGCTGCTGGTGTATACAGCGCTCACAAGCCACGATATATACAGTACAATGCATGATGCTGGAGGCACCATGTGCATGCATCTTGTGCATCATGTGTGTGTGTGTGTCATGCGCATCACCTGCTGCAGGCATCGGAAGAGCAGCTGCACTGCCGTGTCGAGAAAATGAGCGAATTGGTCCTCATAGAAATGCACGTCGTCAATGAGCGTGCGGAGAGAGGACACTGCTGTGAGCTGGGGAATGGTGGGCAGAGTGGGGGATGGGGGTGGAAGAGAGGGAGACGCATTGAGGAAGGGAGCGAATTAATCCTCGTAGAAATGCACGTCGTCAATGAGCGTGCGGAGAGAGGACACTGCTGTGAGCTGAGGACGGCGGGGATGTGCGGGAAGAGCAGTGGGGGGAGCGGAAAAGAAGGAAACAATGTGTGAAGAAGGGAACTGGTCCTCGTAAAAATGCATGTCGACTAAGAGGCACGCGCAAGGCCGAGACAACAATGAGGTAAATTTACTGCATTAAACTGCACTGCACCGCACTGCGCCGCATCTCACCTGCACCACCAGGTCTTCATCTGGCAGCAGGGAGATGAGCGCCTGGTAGGCTGGCACACAGAGGTCGCCCTCCACGCTTCCCACCTACCAGCAGATGCTACAGCCTGCACCGCACTAAATCGCACTGCACCGCGCTGAACTCACCTGGACCACCAGATCGCCGTCTGGCAGCAGGAAGATGAGCGCCTGGTAGGCTGGCACACAGGTCGCCCTCCACCTTGCCCACCCACTGCCCCACCATCCACGCTGCCCTCCCACCAGCAGATGCTACAGCCTGCACCATACTGCACCGCACTAAACCGCCACTGCACTGCACTGCACCGCACTGCACCGCACTGGACCGCGCTGCACCGCACTGAACCCACCTGGACCACCAGGTCTTCATCTGGCAGCAGGGAGATGAGCGCCTGGTAGGCTGGCACACACAGGTCGCCCTCCACCTTGCCCACCCACTGCCCCACCATCCACGCTGCTAGCCCACACCCTGTGCAGCCAGCACCGCACTGAACCGCACTAAATCGCACTGAGTTGCACTGAACCGTGCTGCACCGCACTGAACTCACCTGGACCACGAGGTCTTCATCTGGCAGCAGGGAAATGAGCGCCTGGTAGGCTGGCACACAGAGATCCCCCTCCACCTTGCCCACCCACTGCCCCACCATCCATGCTGCCCGCCTGCGCAGGATCCGCGCGTTGGGGTGGCGGCATGCCATGTCTGGGAGGAGTGCTGTGGTGAACCTGCGAGGGTACGAGGGGTGAGAGAAAGAAATGGAGTTCGGCTCCTTGTGTACGCATGTCCTTGTGCTGCTCGCACGGGATCATCCTTGAGCAGCAGGACCGGGGCGACAGGCACGCATATCTGCAGTGGGGGTTCCGACTTTATTCACACACACAGCACCATCACAGCACCTCCACAGCACAGCACCATCACTCTCTCACCATGTCTTGAAGTCTACAACGTAGATCATAGCACGCCACCCCCACAGCATCGTAGCATGCACACTTGAGCAGCAGAGCCGGGGAGACAGGCACACACGTCTGGGTTCAGTGAACCACCATACAGAGCCATCACTCACTCACCATGTTCTAAAGTCCACCACATCGTGTAGATCGTAGCACGCCACCCCCACAGCATCGTAGCAAGCGTCTTTGAGCAGCAGAGCCGGGGTGACAGGCACGTCGGTGTCAGCTGTCAACCGCACAGCACCCATCACCACCCACCGCACAACACAAAATTCACTCACCATGTTTTGAAGTCCACAACGTCGTGTAGATCATAGCACGCCACCCCCACGGCATCATTGCACGCGTCCTTGAGTAGCAGAGCCGGGGTGACAGGCCCGTCGACATATAGGTAGAACCACTCCCACAGCACCCACCATCAGCGCACTCACCATGTCTTGAAGTCCACAACATCGTGCAGATCATAACACGCCACCCCCACGGCATCATAGCATGCGTCCTTGAGTAGCAGAGCCGGGGTGACAGGCACGTCGGCATCAGGGGAAGCAGGCGGGGGGCATGCCTCTATGCACTGCCGTAGCATGTCGATGAGGGCTGGGGAGAGCACCTGATGGGCGAGAGAATGTGGGAGGAATGGCGGGCAGGGGAGAAACAAGGAGAGTTTGAAAAATCGGCCGAGATGGGAACACAGACACAATCACATCAGGAGAAGCAGGCAGGGGGCCTGCCTCTATGCACTGCCGTAGCATGTCCATGAGTGCTGGGGAGAGCACCTGATGGGAGAGGGATGGTGGGGCAGACGGGAAACAAAGGGAATTACAGAGCAGCAGAGTCGCGGACACAGGCCACCCTGCACCGAGGGAAGCAGGCGGGGGGCATGCCTCTATGCACTGCCGTAGCATGTTCATGAGGGCTGGGGAGAGCACCTGATGGGAGGGAGGACGAAGGGTGAAGAGGAAGTCTTTAGCAGCAGGCAGATTTGATGAGGCGCGTTAATTACTGTGGACTATGGGGGGCGCAAGGAGAAAATTATTGAGACGTATAAAATATCACAATATGTGAAATAGGGAGAATGCAAGAAAATTTCGGCAGCAGCAGCAGCGCTGCCATACCTCTTTGAATTGCTCAAACAACAGCAGCAGCAGCGCCTCTGCACAGAGCCGCAGCTTTTCCTTCCACTCCACGGCGCCCTGCTCGTGATAGAACACCTACCTGCATCTCATGTCATCATGCCATACCTCCTTGAATTGCTCAAACAACAACAACAGCAGCGCCTCAGCACACGGTCGCAGCTTGTCCTTCCACTGCACGGCGCCCTGCTCGTGATAGAACACCTCTGGGTCCAAACCCCACTCTTCTAAATCCCCTGCTGTCAGCACCAGATAGCTGTCAGCGAGACAGGGGAGGGAAACAGATGATGAGAGGGAGAGATGGAGAGGGTACGAGGAGGGTCGCAGCTTGTCCTTCCACTGCACTGCGCCCTGCTCGTGATAGAACACCTCTGGGTCCGCCCCCGACTCCTCTAAGTCCCCTGCTGTCAACACCAGGTAGCTGTGTGGGTATGGAGGAGGGAGACAGGCAGGAGAGAAAGAGGAGACGGGTCAAGGGGGGTCGCAGCTTGTCCTTCCACTGCACGGCGCCCTGCTCGTCATAGAACACCTCTGGGTCCGCCCCCCACTCCTCTAAATCCGCTGCTGTCAGCACGAAGTAGCTGCGAGAAGAGACAGAGGAGGGAATCGGGCAGGGCGAGAAAGAGGGAGAGGTGGAAAAGAGAGGACTGGCACAGCTGCAGCTTGTCCTTCCACTGCACGGCGCCCTGCTCGTGATAAAACACCTCTGGATCCGCCCCCCACTCCTCTAAGTCCCCTGCTGTCAGCACCAGGTAGCTGTGAGTGAGACAGAGGAGGGAAACAGGCAGGAGTGAAAGAAGAGAGAGGGCAAGGAAGGTCGCAGCTTATCCTATCACTGCACGGCGCCCTCCTCGTGATAGAACACCTCTGATTCCGACCAACACTCTTCCAAATCTGCTGCTGTCAGAACCAAGTGGTTGCCAGGAGGGGAGCGGAACGGGTGCGGAGAGAAAGAGGGAAGACGAGGTGTGGAGCATGAGCATCCTGAGCATGTTTTCGCACATCGCATCTGAGACTCACCGTTGCACGAGCACGCGTCTCAGTGTTAGCGTAACCACTTCCTCCCGCGAGAAGAACGCCTGCAGCTGCTGCCGCGCCATGCCTGACAGCTTCCCCACCAGGCTGATCAAATCGCACATGCAAAATTACTGAGAGGTGCTAGACTCACCGTTGCACGAGCACTCCCCCCAGAGTAACCACTTTCTCCTGCGAGAAGAACCCCTGCAGCTGCTGCCGGGCCATGCCTGACAGCTTCCCCCTCATCTCCTCAGCAGATGCCACTGCCGCCCCCACCACATGCCCCGTGGGGTTCTGCTTGTATGCCACACATCGCAGCACACTCTGCAGAAACAGCATACACTCTATCAGAAACAGGCCGTGGCTGGAAGCTGAAGAGGAGGCGGACGCATCAGTAGCCGCAGCAGCGGCGGCGGCGGCGGTTGCGGGGGTTTGTGGACTGGTAGCAGCAGCAAGAGGGGTGGAGAGGGATGGGGAGGGGGAGGAGGCGGTGGGGTCGGTGGTGGTGATCTGTGTGTAGCAGAAGTCGAGGGTGGGCAGGAGGACGTTTTTGGAGGCGAATGAGAAGGGGTGCAGCTCGTGGGAGGCGACGAGCGTTTTGAGCAGCTTGACTGAGGCGCGTGAGAGGAAGGTGTGCAGGGGTTGCAGGGCTGGGCGCTGCTGGGAGAGATTGCCTGGGTGGGAACAGGGAATTGAGAATGGAGCATAGGGACAGGGGTGTGGGGAAGGGAAGGGGACGGTTTGTTCTACTATGAGGTATCGCACAGCAAGGGGTGCAGCTCGTGGGAGGCCACGAGCGTCTTGAGGAGCTTGACTGCGGCGCGGGAGAGGAAGGTGTGCAGGGGGTGCAGGGCTGGGCGCTGCTGTGAGATATTACCTGTGTGTGAGCAGGGAATGGAGCAGAGAGGCAGGAGAGTGGGGTGGGGAAGAGGAGGGATGGAAAATCACAGGTTGGTCTTTCAAATCCCAAAACTCTACTGTACTTTACTGTTCTAATTCACGAATGAGGACTCACAGAGAGAGAGCGTCGACTCACAGAGAGAGAGCGTCGACTCACAGAGAAAGAGCGTCGACTCACAAAGAAAGAGCGTCGACTCACAGAGAAAGAGCGTCGACTCACAGAGAAAGAGCGTCGACTCACAGAGAGAGAGCGTCGACTCACAAAGAAAGAGCGTCGACTCACAGAGAAAGAGCGTCGACTCAGAGAGAGAGCGTCGACTCACAGAGAGAGAGCGTCCATTCAAAGAGAGAGAGCGTCCATTCACAGAGAGAGCGTCGATTCACAGAGAGAGAGAGCGTTTGTGTACCTTTTCCAAGACAAAAACTTGCGAACAATGCCAAGTGGTTTGTTGTGTGGCGGGGAGAAATGTGGCTTACGGAAGTTAAGAAGCGATTGCGCTGCTTCAAGAAATGCGGGCACCACTTGTTCCAGTACCGGAACCTCCTGTAAAGGGGAAGGATGAAAATAAGAGGTGCACAGGGAAAGAGGAAAGGTAACTGCGCTTTCTTGAAGGAAAAGTTGCTATCAGTCAGCGCAATGTGTGACAATAAAGGGCTGCAGAGCATTGCTTGTTTCAATACCCTTCAAGGTCAGCATTCTCCATTCTTCTCAATACTTGAAAGTAATGAAACAAATATTGAGATGCCATTCCATATTCGTTGAAATTGCTCCCACGGTAGGAAGCAAGGAGGATAAATGAGAGACGGTGATAGGTTGCCGGTGATGGTGACAGACAGAAGGTGCTGAAACACACAAGAAGGCCCCCCACACCACGCACGCAGCGACTTACTTGCCTGAACGGATTTGAAATCAGAAGGGAAGCCGAACACGAGCATGCGACGAAGAGTCTTCACACACAGCAGCCACCGCTCACACAGCAGCATCAGCGCCCCTCCTGCTGCCCCTGCCCCTGCTGCTGCTGCTGCTGGGTCTGACCCTCCAGCCTCAAGGGCGGTTAGGCCCTGCAGCAGTGACCCTGTGTCTCTCACCCAGTGCGCCCAGGTGGGCTCAAACAGCTGGCTGGTCACCTGAGAAAAGGACAAAAAAATGTGGGGGAGGGGAGAGGCGGGAAATTTTTGAGAAAGGTGATCCTCGGTATTTTCTATCCTTGGTGTTACATCTTTTCACCTTCACCAACGGAGAGATGTAGTGTGTTTTGACGCTAGCTCTTACCTGAGTGAACGTGCACTGATCCACCACACCACACTTATGCGCTTAGTTGAAAGTTCATTAAGCATGTGGTTAAGTACCTACCTAGCTCGGCTCTTACCTGAGAAAAGGTGCGTTGGTCCACACTCAGGCGCTTGGTTGAGAGTTCTTTAAGTACGTGATTAAGAACCAGATAGGCACGCTGTGTGAGCAGAGGGTCCTGACTCTGCAGCTTCTGCAGGAGCGTGGGGAATAGCTCGGACCTGCCCTCGCATGCATGTGGCATGATGTGGGATCGCATGGCAGCACATGGGAACATATGGGATCAGACGGCACATGATTAAGCACAAAAAGATAGGTGCGCTGTGTGAGCAGAGGGTCCTCAGTATGAAGCTTCAGCAGGAGTGTGGGAAATAGCTCTGACCTGACCTTGCATGCACAGCATGACATGATGTGGCAGCACATGGCATAATATGGCATTGCATGGCATCATATCATATGGAATCACATATGACATCACATTGCATCATATGGCAACACAAGGCATCAAAAGGCATCGTGTGGGATCGTATGGCATCACATTGCATGGCCATCGGTGTGACTGCATGGAAACCGTGGTGAGTCGTGATATGACAACCACTAATGAGAAATTCCAATGACAAAATTGCGATGGAGTAGTGCATTTTATTGCCATGCCAGCCAATCCCTCATACATACACCAACTCATCATTCACGCCCATCCCTCACCACTCGCGCCCATGCCTGACTCACCAGTCCGTGGGGTAATCAATGCTGGCAATCTTAACAACCAGCACGGCGAGCCGCATGGCCACTTGGCTGTCCTCATCTGCCACTGGATCCAACAGCCAAGTGGCCATGCGGCACTTGGATCCAACAGCCAAGTGGCCATGCGGCACTTGGATCCAACAGCCAAGTGGCCATGCGGCACTTGGATCCAACAGCCAAGTGGCCATGCGGCACTTGGATCCAACAGCCAAGCCAAGTGGCCATGCGGCACTTGGATCCAACAGCCAAGCCAAGTGGCCATGCGGCACTTGGATCCAACAGCCAAGTGGCCATGCGGCACTTGGATCCAACAGCCAAGTGGCCATGCGGCACTTGGATCCAACAGCCAAGTGGCCATGCGGCACTTGGATCCAACAGCCAAGTGGCCATGCGGCACTTGGATCCAACAGCCAAGTGGCCATGCGGCACTTGGATCCAACAGCTTTGCTGGATGTGCCTAAGCCAAGGCCAAAATGCCCCACTTCACACCATTCACGCCCGTCCCTCCCTCACCATTCCCTGGGGTAGTCGATGCGGGCGATCTTAGCAATCAGCACGGCCAGCTGCACGGCCACCTGGCTGTTCTCGTCTGCTACTAGCTCCAACAGCCGCGCTCTCAGCACTGGCTTCTCCTCGTCTGATATGCCCCTGTGCGGGTGAGGCAATGCGGGTGGGAGAGGCGAGACAAAGGGTACAAGTTCACTTGACTCTGCACCTCTCCTCTGTGACTCTCACGGCCACTTGACATGGCTGTTCTCATCTGCTACTAGCTCCAGCAACCGCGCTCTCAGCACCGGCTTCTCCTCGTCTGATATGCCCCTGTGCGGGTGAGAGAGGGTGAGGGAGGTTGTGAGGAAGGGTGAGGTGAGGAAGAGTTTGAGGTAGGGTGAGGGAGGTTGTGAGGGAGGGTGCGTGGGAGCGTGTGAGAGAGGGTGTGAGGGAGAGGGGTGAGTGGGGGAAATGGAAAGGCCACAGGATGGTAGGAGGAAACAGGAACATTATGTGCTTACACGGGAGTGTGGCTCACTGCATCTCTCGCCTCGCCCGCCAGTATCTGTTAATGCTAATCTTAAAATAAATGGCTGCCAGCCACCTGTATTGCAATTGGTCAATGACCAGATGTGCTTATAGGCGATCGAGTGTGACTCACTGTGTCTCTCGTCTCGCCCGCCAGTATCTGTTAATGCTGTTTTTGAAATAGATGGCCGCCAGCCACCTAGCTCCACCCTTCTGATCTAGCTCCTTGCGCGATATGATCTCCTGCCGGCATTTAGGGAGAGGCGGAGGGGAAAAGAGGGGTTCAGTGAAGGTCAAATGAACCGTCTCATGAATGAAACCGTCGCATGACAAGACAACAAAGCTCTCATCTCAGGATAACGCTCAAGCTCTCATGATAATGCTTCAAGCTCTGATGATAATGCTTCAAGCTCTGATGATAATGCTTCAAGCTCTGATGATAATGCTTCAAGCTCTCATGATAACGCTTCAAAATTAAGAAGGCAAGAGAGAGGGGGGCTCCATCTGTCGTACCAGGAGACATGAGCAGAAACCCACGCGGGTCTCGTACGCGTTAAGAGCCTGTTCCGCCTCTTTCCTTGTAGCCTCGTTAAGAGCTGCTTCTAACAGGTTGTAGATGGGTCCAGGATCTGCTGCGGTCAGCGCCATATCCGCAGCTCCAGCCCGTGATTAAAGAGGTGATCGGAAGAACCTTAAGCTGCTGAGCTGCAGCGTCCGCCGAACGATCAGACACTACAGCGGGAAACGAAAATGGCAATTGCGCAGATGAGCACTCAGGAAATGCCTGCAGATGGTTGGAGTCGGTTCGGTGTGTGACTGAAACGAGCGCTCGTTAGGCACCCTCGGGGCTATGCTGGGTACACCATGGATTTCGGCGGAAGGAACCGGAATTCGACCAGATTACAATGTGACGGCGATCTAGGAATCCCAGGCAAATCCGATCAGGATGCGCGGAGGTAACACTTTTGACTATCGACAGACCATGACACGCTGAAGGGACAACACGTGAAGGCTTAAAATGCCATCACACGCAAACTACAAGAGCCTTATCGGTAGAAGAAAGAGAGGAGAAAGTGAAGGAAATGAGGTAAGAGGGGGCGAAGGGTGAGAATTGGGATGGTGTGAGCTTCTAGAATGAAGGCTGTGAGAATGTAGTGGAAACTCCAAGCATTGCTGATGAGATGGGTATAATGATACTCCAAATTCCAAAGGGCTCATATTCACTCCACAAACGTTTACGCTTGATTGTTCGTGGTTCTACAGTATCGACGCTCGTATATCATTCTTAGGCAGTCTATATGGGAGACACAAGCCTTGGTGGGCTTCCTGGCTCGGGTACGAGGCTAGCGCGAGCAGTTGACCAAGAATAGAAGATTCGAAAGGGTGGTTTGCGTTTGGCGGACTCAACAGATTAGGGGAATTTGTCACAAACGCTTGAACGGATTTACCCAAATCGGAGGTTGAGTTCTGGGAAAAAAATACAACTTTTCGAATCAGCTTTGTCGCATATCCATATTTTGATACACCGCAAATTGTCTGGGAAACAAAGAGCGACCAGAAGAAAAAGCACTAATGCTATATACTGCTGGTTCGGTAAAAAAAATATAGGAAGGTGACTGGCGGGCAGGGAAAACGGGGTGGAGGGAAGGCTTGTGGCGGCCTCAGGGGCGGCTTGGTTTGGATGGCCTGGATGAGAAAACTTTGCCGAGCCGTACACTGGATGCTCTCTGCAGTCTCGTACCTACGTCTCCCCGCATCACACTTCGGTTCGGTGAGCTACGTACCCATGAACAGAACGTCCGGGCCTGGCCTGAACCTTGCTTGGTCCCTCCCTGAGGCGCGCGCCTGGTGTCAACCGAACTCGCAATTGCGGTTCGATGAGGCTTGATACGATCTAGAAAGTTTTGTAATGTTTCAGAATGGTTGAATAGGGTATTCGGCAAAAAACGTATTTTCGGGACGTGCCCTGACGACTAATTTGATAACCACCTACCAACCGATTATCGGCACCTAATTCAGACTGCAGATATGCGGAGTAGCCGCTGCTCAGCGCGTCCGTACCGCGGCAGGTTCACAGATGAGGTCGTCCGCTGATTCGACGTATTTATGCGAGCGAAAAAAACGCCTGTTGCGAGTTTCGGATAGTTGGCAAGGCGCGTTCTCAGTTGCGGGAAATGGAGGCACAGGTAAGTGAAAGCATGCTTTTTATGCGGAAGACTCCCACGCTAGACTCATTGAGCTGATTAATCTGAGGGAGATGCTAGAGCCTCAGAGGTACACTGAGCCGTTGCCGGGAACACTGGGACCTGGGGAAGTTTTTTCAGGTCGAAATGCGGTTAGTGAGGAGTCTAAAAAATGCTCACGTCTCAAGTTCCCGGCAATGGCTCAGTAGGTACTCTTCCCTTCGGGGGGTCCCGCTCTGGCTCCCGTGCGCGTACTTCTTAGCTCCGCCGCTACTCCTGTCTTCTTGCGCCAGCTTTCTGCGGCGTTCTGAGACGTCTCGAAAGAGTTTTGAGACGTCTCAACATTTCAGACGCCTCAAAACTCTTTTTAGCTCCGCCGCTACTCCTTCCTTCTTGCGCCAGCTTTCCGCGGCGTTCCGCTTAAGGCGCTTTTTGTTCTCCTTTTGTTGAGCTCGCGCCACTCTGATGCCTTGTGATGCCTTGTGATGCCTTGTGATGCCTTGTGATGCCTTGTGATGCCTTGTGATGCCTTGTGATGCCTTGTGATGCCTTGTGATGTCTTGTGATGCCTTGTGATGCCTTGTGATGCCTTGTGATGCCTTGTGATCCCTTGTGATGCCTTGTGATGCCTTGTGATGCCTTGTGATGCCTTGTGATGCCTTGTGATGCCTTGTGATGCCTTGTGATGCCTTGTGATGCCTTGTGATGCCTTGTGATGCCTTGTGATGCCTTGTGATGCCTTGTGATGCCTTGTGATGCCTTGTGATGCCTTGTGATGCCTTGTGATGCCTTGTGATGCCTTGTGATGCCTTGTGATGCCTTGTGATGCCTTGTGATGCCTTGTGATGCCTTGTGAGCAGGACGGGCAGGAGGAAGGCAAATCGACGGGCAAGAAGCACAAAGATGGGAAGAAGAGCCATCGGGTCCGTCCACGTGTCCTCTCGCATTCTCCATTCAGTTCGTGTTCATTCCGCATTCCGCATTCCTTTTGCGCCCCAGTTTCATCTCCCTCGCACCCCGGTTACAACTCCTGTCCTGTTTCTCGCTCCAGTTACAACCATCTCTCCATCCACCCCCTCCCCCCATCCCCATTGCCTTCCCCCCTTCCACCCCGCTTTTTCCCTCCCTTATCATCCCAACCTGACCTACCCCGCGCACTCTCTCTCTCTCCGCCTACCTTCCACAGAAAGAGGCATTGGAGGAGATGCGGGGGGATGTAGAGCGGTTGAAAGGCGAACTTCAACAAGCAGGGGAGCAGCTCGCAGTGGCAGAAAAGGCGAAAACCGATTTGCTGGTTAAGTATGAGTGCGTGGAGAGGGAAATGGTTGCTCTGGAGGGGCGTTTGGAGGAGAGGGAGAAGGAAAGAGAGAGGGAGAGAGGGGTATTGGTTGGGAGGTTGGAGGAGTGTGAGAGGAGGTTGAAGGAGGAAGAGGAGGGGAGGAAGGAGGAGAAGCAGAAACGGAAAGAGGAGAAGGAGAAGCGGAAGGAGGAGGAGGGGAAACGGAAGGAGGAGAAGAAGAGGCGGAAAGAGGCGGAGGAGGAATTGGCACGTGTCAAGCAGCGATTGGAGGAAGCTGAGGCCAAATGTGAGAGGATCGAGGGGGTGAGTGCCGTGCTGAGAGGGCTTGCTGATGCAGCAGCAGAGGAGGGAAGCGGGTCAGTTGATAGAAGAAGAGTTGAAAGGGAGGATGGAAGCAGTGTAGCAGATGACAGGAGTGATGAGGCGGATGGAAGGGTAGCTGGGCGTGACGATGAAAGGGAGGCGAGTGCACGACTAAAAGACCTTGAACTGCACGCTGTGAGAGCAGAGGGAGAGGCGGAGGGCTTGAGGCGTGAGCTGGAAGCTGTGAATGCCACGCTGGCAGATACAAGTGCCAGGCTGGCAGACACGAGTGCTGAGCTGGCATGCTTGAAAGAGGCATTGAGGGAGACGGACGCACACGCACGCGTGGATAAGTGCGGAGAAGAGGGATTGAGGGAGAGTGGAAGTAGGGAGGAGGGGGGGAGCAGGGAGGAGGTGGAACAGAGGTTGAAAGAGGCAGAAGCACAGAGGGATGCTGCAGAGAAACAGAGGGAGGAGGCGGAAAGACAAAGGGAGGAGGCAGAGAGGCGAAAGGAGGAAGCAGAGCGGGAATGGAAGGAGGCGGAGAAGGGACGAGAGGACGCAGAGGAAAGAGTGAAGGGCCTTGAGGGTCGCCTGAAAGTTGCAGAGAGGTCAGCAGCAGGAGACACTCTGGGTTTGAATGCGAATGCCGCGCGTGACTCATTCGGTGATAACAATGCGGGAGGTAGAGGGAGTGAACAAAGGAAGGAGGAGCATGGGAACAGCTGGAAGGGGGTTGTGGGAGAGAGGGAGAGTGTGGAGGGAAACATGGATGCCGAAGTGGAGTGCTTCAAAGAGCCTCAGAAGGTGGAAGTGTCGCTTCCCAAGGCACAATTGTCACCTGGAAAGACATTTCCCGAGATGGACCGCGAGGCAGAGCTTGAGTTTCTGCGCAACCTGCGGGAAGATCTGGAGAGGGAGTTGGACTCTCTACGCATTCAAGTCGATTGCAAGTCACAGGCCCCTGTTGCTGATTTGGATAAGGCTTGTCTCGAAGCTGGGGGAGACCAGAGTTGCAGCCAGCCTACCAACAGCACCTGTGGCTGCACGTGTTGCAGCAGCTGTAGCTGCGGCTGTAGCACCAGGAACGCCAGTACCAGCACCGCCACGAACACCACCAGGAGCATCGCAGAAGCAGAAGCAGAGATCGAGCGACTGCACGCCGTGAGAGGAGACCTAGAGAGGGAGCTTGAGGA